AGGGGGGCATTGGCCCCCTGGCCGAAGGCTCTGAACTCTTACAGAACGGGCTTCTCAAGCAAACTAAGAAACTGGGAGAAAACGGCAAAAACAGTAGCCCTCGGCACCAGGGGGGCATCGGTTTGAGGAGCCCTCGGCTGCCGCCCTATAGCCGAAGGCACCTCTCCCGACATGATATCCGCCTCACATGCGTACAGATCACCGTACCCTGTACAGACGTCCCATCCAACAGCCGCATTAAATGCGGCCACATGCGGCTGCCTACGCCAACCAGTTGAAGTGACCCCTCGGCCAATGGGCGCTTGACACGTGTCCCTGTCCGGCATTTATTGCTACTATAAATAGCATCTCATTTCCCCATTTGTAACCACGACATTCAGACTGAATACACTCTCTCTCTTATTTACTTGTGCTCTGACTTCTCTCTAAGTTATTCTCAGCAATAACCCTTCGGATATATACCCCCGGGTAGACTATCCATCAGCTATAGTGCCAAGCAGGAGGGAAGAAGATTATAGTCCTGAAAATAACGAGGAGTTACTAAGAGCCGAGCTCCACTTGATTGAGGAAAGAAGGGACTGACCATTCATCCGGGCTAAAAATTATCGACTCCAAGTGAAAGAGTACCATGATGCTAAGGTCAGATCAAGGTGATTCGAATGAGATATACCAGCCGACCTCTGGAGGGAGGAAAGTTAGCCAAAAATTGGGAAGGGCCTTATAAAGTCAAGGGAATAGTTGGGCTTGGAACTTACAAACGATGTACTCTTAATGGGAAGCTGATAGATAGGGTCTCAATCTCTAAAAACTTGTTGAAATTCTACCAGTAAGTTTGTACTTCTTTCCAAGAAAATTTTAATAAAGTTCCGTCTTCGATTCACAAATATCCCTTACACTTGAAAGACTTGTGAAGGTTCCTTAGCCAACCAGTACCACAAAAAAAGGTCATGCCAAACTGGTACTCGTAAAAGTCGAAGTAGAATTCGAACTCATCTAAATTCTAAAAGCTCAAAATAGTATTTCTAAAGATAAGAGCGGGAATTGACAACCTTTTCCAAGTTAAACAGTCTTCATGAACAAATCAAGGTTCCCCGAGACGGGGAAAAACAATATTTTTTCAAGGTTGAAATGATTTTACAAGACTAAAGATGGATTAATGGAATAAACATTGCACCGGAGTGTTTTTTAACAAAACTCCACCAATGAAAGAGGCTCATCATGTGGTTGGAAAAACCAAAATAACAGCCCACGCGGTCCGGCTCAATTAATAAGAGCCTAAGGGTTGCAGCTGATTGGTGAAAGTCCCCCCAAATCGGGAAAGACGATCTTGACCGAGATTTCAGGGCAAAAATCAAGTAAAGGTATATTGTGACAAGAGTATTTAAAGTCTTAAGGCATCGAGTAAAGGAATTCAAATATAATACTTCCTCCGTTTTTTAATTCTTGTAACATTGTGATTTTTGCACTATTTACAGACCTTACTTTGACCAAGATTTTCTACTAATATACATAGTCAAATTATTACGAATAAAATGTTATTGAATTCCTTTTTTTTTGGAAAAATGCGAAAATACATAAAAAGAAAAGAAAAGATAGAATAAAGGCTACTCCCAAGGGAAATCTCTGGACTGTGACCTAGTTCTCATGTTGTGGTGCCTTTTGTTTTTTTGTGATTTCCTATAGATCTTTAGTTGCGTGTTCAGGTTGTCTGTTGGCAGACAATTTTCAGAAGTTACAAATTTTTCTCTGGAGCAAATTTCCCTGTTGAATTTGGATTTTCTAATTTCTTCGGGGTATGAAATAGGCGGACGACGATCGCTTTCAGTTGCATGTCCAAGAAAGTCGTCTGTGAAAAAAGAGTCATCACAATAATCAAAACTGTCAGAGGCATCTGAGTAAGCCTGGATTTGTGGCAACTTGGTTTGTTTCTCTGAAGATTGGACCTTCTGATTTTCGGTGCAGTCACTCTGAATCTAAGAATTTAAGATCAGTTTGGAGATGGAGGTGGGATCCACGGATTCTATTGTGCTCCTTAGTTGAAGAGAGATTGAGTCATCCTGCACAGATTTTTGTATCCCTACAAAATTAGAGAAAATATTGATAAATTGCAGCAAACTTGATTGTTTATGTCCCATAGGAATCTTAATGGAGCTCCCCTTGTATTTGTTAATTTTCACGTAGTAGCCAGATCTGTTTGTTTCTAAAGAAACCGTGATATCTCCAAATCGCCTAAACTGCTTAATATTTGGGTAAGCTGAATATTTCACGTAATGTTATTGAATTCCTATCAATGTGAATTTCCAAAATATCAAACTTTTTTAATGTTTGCTGATACATAATTAAATATAATTAATTACAATCAAAGTTGTGTGTTGGCAAACATGAAAGTCAAACTGTTGCAAGAATTAAAGAACGGAGGATAGTAACTCATATCAAAATTCCATAATAATAAATCAATATACTAAGTACAACAATTTCATAGAATAATATTTACTCAAATTCGATACACATAAATACAATTCTCGAATATGAAAATAAAACATTTAATGTAATTACGAGACAAAAGGTATAATTTTGGTTGACATAGAACTTACCTCAAAGTGTGACACTCCTCCTAAATTGGTCTCTTAAAATGTCCCTTTGATAATCACCTTAACGTCGGAGGTGGACGGTATATGGCAGGGTTGGCGACGGCGGCGACGCGTTTCCTCAACGGCTTTGTCCGGCGGTCTGGTTTCTCCCTCGGCGAGCTGCTCTTTCTCCGGCGACGGGTGCACGTACTGCGTGCTAGGCGGCGTCGACGGCGTTGACTGGCTCCTTCTCTTCTCCCACTAGGCCTTCTTCGGCGAGTTGGAAATAATGAAGGCTTAACCGCCTTTGGTTTTGCAGTAGCGTGTATGCGTGTGTATATAATAGGTATGTTTGTATGTGTATACGCAGAGCGTCGTTTATCTGGGTTGTGCAGAGCGTGTGTATCGAGGTTGCTATTTATACATGTTTCTGAGGTTTCTAGACTCTGGTTACAAAATCTCCGCATTTACTACCTACCATTTCTGTTCACCGACCGTAAATGGTTATTCGATACGACGGGGGAAGTTCTGGATGGTTTCCTTGTTTGTACGTTCGTCAATTGCCATACGTGACTCGGTATATTAATACTACCTTCGTCCCAAATTGATTTGCAAATTTGACTCTTCTTGGTCAAAAAGTTTCATTTTATTTGCCTAATTAGGATATCAAATTTTAATTATATTCTAATTTGGAGTTTACAACTTAGAAGAGGTTTTAATATAGTTTCTGAATATATAAATTTTAATTATTAAAAATGGAATTAATTGTCGATAGGGAGCATTGACTTTTTTTTTGTTTGACCAAAAAATGTTGACTTTGCAAAATAATTTGGAGTATATTATTAATTTATTACACTCCGTAACTTCTCTATTATTAGTAATCTTATGTGCAGCAGTAACATTTATGTACCAAGTACTACTATGCATGCATGGGTGACATATTTTACGTGGTGTTTATAACTTAAAATTTATATTCTTTTAACCTTTTTATTTACTTCCATGTGTAATTAGCAAAATTTGATCTCACTAAAATTATCTCTTTAACAAAATTATCAATTTTTATTTTATTTAAATTTTTGGAGTGTCACACATAGAGCTCTACAATATTCTGCCCCAGTGTGGGGCGAGAATAGACGAAGGAGGATAAATAAAAATGGGTCTTGATGCCTCGGGAATCCATCGGAATCTGGGGTCGGCTAGAAGCGGACCTCTCATCCTCGGGGAAGACACTACAACGAGGATCAGAGGAACAAGATCACAAGAAGACATGAAATATACCTAAGAAGTAATGGGAGGATCGCAGAATGGGCGGCGGAGTACTAAGCGTCCTAGGGTTTGCAACCAGAAATACAGAAGGATTTCGCGAAGGAATTTTCTTCAGAAGGTTTTCTTGAAGAAAGATGCACCTTATATATAGCCGGATGTGACAGCACCTTCCAAAATCGCTTGGAGCTGCTACTCAAGCACTCAAGTGCTGAAGTTAGTAAGGCGGGATGGAAATTCGTGCAGTGTTGCTATGATTCACGAAAGGAAAAATCAAATTTGAAAGGCTTGTGACTCTTCTAAAATCAAATCCGACTTATTTTAGAGAGTATGGGGGCTCGTGATGGTACCATGGATCGCAACCATGGTCCAGGAATAAACTGAACAAAGCCCATTATACGGGAACAGAGAACTAAGCCCATTAATTGAGAATAAATAATCAGTAATAGTCGCTAGGCCTAACTAGGAACTCGACCCACGAAAGGAATCAACAGCCAGGCCGGTCTGGACAGCAGATCTCGAGCCCGGGCAAGATTCTAACGAGGTCGGACTTATCCTAGGGCTTATGTGGCAAGCTATCAATCGAGAATAGCTATCTGACAGCGGCAGGAAACTAACAGAAGAAACGTGCACCTAGAGGAATAATAATTGCAGAATAATTGAGACGTTAGAAGACTCCAATCATAATCAAATGTATTAAATGTATCGGTTTTCTCTTCTAGACCAGTGTAACTCTGGGTCTATAAATACTCGGTGTACTTACATACCCTAAAATTGAATGTATTAAATGTATAGGTTTTGGAAGGATCGAAAAGAGAGAGAGATGGCATGTTATTGGGAGAGTCGGGTAGCTAACAGTAGCTATGTGTGTGGCCTCCAAATCCTCGGAATAATATAAAAAAATAAATGTGTGTGAGAGTTGATCACGTTGTTTACCGTGTGTCCATGAGAATTGTGGCGTGCGTGTGGGTCTTCATGATGGGGCACCCTTTTTCGTATCATCAATCCATTAAATAATTAATTAATTAATAAAGAATGTGTTGGATGCTTTTTGAATTGAATTGGTTTCTTTTTTTTTTTGGATCAAAAGAAATGAAAGAATACCTAAATAAATAAAATGCACAAGCCCCAATGGCTCTCCAGCCATGCCATGTGCAGCCCACATGCCTCCATATCCCACTCACCCGCCCCGCCTATCACCCAATAAATTCCCTCATCATCGCCGCCCCGACACCATAAATTCTTCCAATCCACCCCCCTCTCCCTCATTCCCAGGATGTCCACCGCCGCCGCCATTTCACTCCTCCTCTTCGCCGCCGCTCTCCTGCTCGCCATTGCCGTCCGGACAACCATCGTTACCTGGATCACCGTCATCGTACTCCTCGCATTCGTCGGCAAACGCCGACGCCTCCTCGCCCACGACGGCCACAAGATCACCTTCGATGTTGCCTTCTACTTGGCCAAGGTTTTTTTCCGAGAAAGGCCCGGCGGCGTTCTTGCCTTCTCCTGCGCCGCCACCGCTTTGGGCTTAACCACTTTGGCTTGGATCGGGAAGCCCTGCTGCTAATTTCTCACCTTAATTAATTATCACAAGTGCTCCTGTAAAAAAACGCAATTAGCTAGTGAGTGCGTTTGGTTGGGTTTTTCCCTCCCTTTTTAGGGGGGATAGCGATTTTTTCCATCAACGGGTTTTTAGAGTGATGACGATGCTAGTGTGAAACTATCAAACTCAATCCACCCCCCACCCCCACCCTTCCTTAAGCCATAAATGGATATTCATTGCGTTTTGATATGTATCGTATTTATTTGTCTTTTACGCTGATACTGAATGCATACACAACGTTTTTTTTACCCGTGGTGTAATCATTTTGCATATATTACCCGCCCATTCGTATACCGTGGTACCACACCAAGGTGATCACGGATTCACCGGCTCACATACCCAAAACGACGCAGTTTCGTATATTTCTTAAAAAAAAAATCGCGTGAACAGTGACTGTTTTTTTTATCCCAGTAATATGAATGATGTAACTCGCGTGTAAATTAATGTAACTCGTTTTATTGATCTATTTAACACAGTTCCAGTCGAAATATAACTTATCAAATACATGGTATATGAAATAAAACATTGATTTCAATGTAAACAATGAAAAAAGAGTCTTATTGCTCGATTACTTTACATAAATAGTGAATATGTGTTTGTTTTTAATATCATGAGCATAAAAATGATTTTTAAAAAAAAAACTTTTTTTGTTTTAATAGTAAGAGTTGATTTTTTGGTGTAAGTCATGTTATTACTTATGTAACTCATGTAGATGTCAAATGTAATTTAGGTGTATACAGATGTATCTTGTATATTAAAAAATGTAACTCACTTATAAAAAGATATAATTGAATGTATTATCAAATGTAATTGATGATAAAAGATTACACGAAGTATATTTTAACCTTAATTATATTATATGTAGTTTGATTTACAAAATCAAAGCTTGATATTTAGAACGGGCATTTGCAATCTTCCACTGATCTACCCTGATGATGAGCCGCGAAGCTTTGTGAAGTGAGATCAGAAACTAGCAACCAAAACAAACAACAAGAAGAAGAATCTAACCCAAAAAAGAATAGAAACTTGTCAGATGCCTAGCAGCCACCCATGATGAGCCTGCGATTTTTGGGGAGGAGTTCAAGAGTCGGTCGTGGTCATTCAAATCGGAAGAGGATCGACTGGTTTTTATTGAACAAAACGGCACCGTTTGAGATCGGCACACCATGCGCAAGGTGGGCCGATCCCACAGTATAATTTGCGTCCATGATGGGGTCACCCATTTATCTCATCTATTAAAAAAATTGAATGCGCATATTATTATAATCACTAGTCCGGTTCGTATAAGGTGGGATCATCGAGCATCCTCCTCCTACTTCCAAAACGACGCAGTGTGCACCGTTCTTAATTAAAAAAAAATCACGCATGAACCGTACACGAGCGTACAGTGACTATTTTTTGTTTTTTTCTTGTCCCAGTAGCAGAATGATGTAACTCTTATGCAAAAATATGTAACTCACGCTAAAAAGCAATGTTATTGCAAGCAAGTCGAAATGTAACTTGTTTAAAACATTGATTTCAATATAAACAATAAAAAAAGAGTCAAATCTTTTAATTACTTTACCTAAATAGTGAATATGTGTTGTTTTTAATATTAAGGCCATAAAATGTTTTTAAAAAATCATTTTTCCCCAAGAAATCATTTTTTTTGCAAAAAAAATCGGTTTAGAAACAGTTTTTTTTTTAAAAGAGTTTATTTTGTAATGTAACTTGTGTTATGAAAATGTAACTCGTGTTGATTAAAAAATTAACTTAGATGTATGCAAAATGTAACATGTTGAGGCAAACCCAACATAAGAAGATGTAACTCGAGTATAAGAAAATGTGATTCCATATAATATCAAATGTAAATATGGAAAATGTACATTAATAAAAATTTGTAATAATTTGGTTAAGAAAAAGTTAATTCTTGCAATTTAACTAGTCCAAATGTAATTAGTTAACTACATAAATCCAAATATAACTTGTCTCACTAAAAATGTAACTCACTCATAGAAAGATTTAACTCGCGCACATGAAGATGTAACTCCATATATTATCAAATGTAACTCCAACAATCAAAATAAAAAAAAATACAAAATAGAATGTAAGAATATAATTAAAAAGTATTACAAAAAAATACTATGCAATATACTTTTTTATTTAGAATAATAAAAAAAATTATTTTAAATTGCTAAAGAATAAACAAATAGATTGGTATTTCCATAGAAGTCTGAACATTGAAGCGGAAGCTCTTGGAGAGGGGAAACTATGGGTGCACTGATGCTCATGAAATTCCATAAATGACACATCTTCTTATGTTTGCCTTCTCATTCTGAGAGTTGGAAGGAGCCTATTCTTGTCCCTACGCAGAGATCGATCACTAGAAGCAAAGCATGATTGATTTCAAGCTATAGAAAAACGGTAAGAAAATCTATGAAGGTTCTTCAAAAATTCAAAGTTTCTTCCGATAGCTTCAGAAATTCAAAGGTTCTTCTCTTCCTCCATTAATGAAGACGGGAGTTCTATGAGTAGAATTTCAGTTTAGGAGCAAGTGTGCCATATTCGGAGTTTACAGAGATGGACCTTCGATCGAGCTTATCCCTTCGATCTAACTTATCAATTTTTTAATACTCCTTATAAAACTGCACCGTTTTGGTATCCGCACACCATGCACATGGTGGGCCGATCCCACGGTATAATTTGCGTCACTAATCAATCCACCCGTGCGTTGCACGGACAATTGTTGAAATTATTTTATTTTTGAAATTCATTGATTTCATGAATAATGTATATATGCTTCGTAGCTGTAAAAATTAAAACCTCATATATTAGAGTACATGTACGAGTGCCCCCAAAATATCATTTCCATTTAAAGTAGTAAATATGTATTTAAAGTTATCTTTCCCTTTACATAAACATCAATCACATAATTTTTACTTTCATAATTCATGTTTCACATGAAAGTCAACTATGATCAAGTTTTATGGGGAATTATCAATTATTATCGTTGTACTATATACAATGTTTATATCCCGATTTATCGCGCTAAATATAATGCAATGCTCAATTTTTAGATTTGAAAATAAGGACATTCCATTTTTCTAACTTTAGAGCCCGTTTGATGACACATAAATTGACTAAATCAACTGATTCTGCTGATATTTATGAAGCTCTATCTAAGTTGGCTGGTTCTGTTGATTTACAAAAAAAATATTTAAAATAAAATATGTTTATTAATAAAATAAAGAAAAAATTATATGAAAAAATATATAGAATGATGATTTACAATCACTTCAACCAATACATCAAAAAAGTAAGAGAGAATTGTCTAAATAGGACTAAATCAAAGTGAAATTGCAAAAATAGGACTACTATGTTTTATTGGTAAAAAATGGGACTAAAAAGAGTTGATCTGACAAAACTACCCCCAATTAAAAAACATGTCACGCTAACTAACGATTTACACAACCGACGCATAACAGCCTCCCATGTCTGCAGGTCATCTTTGCTTCCCTCTCCACTGCTCAGGTCGACATATCTTCAGGTAAGTATTTCTTCTTCTTTTCCTCCTTCTCCTTCTTCCTCTTCTCCTTTTCCTTCTCTTCTGTTCTCTGCTCCTTTCTTCTTCAATCATATTTTTTGTTTAAAAATTTTGGAATTGAAATACACGGCTCTATCAATTATGCGAAATTATTTCGGTCTAATTTTTTTGTTATGTTCATCTATCAACTTTTTTAAAAATGCCACATGATTGGCAATTTTTGGAGACATATTGGCAATTTTTTGGAGATGACACTATTATATGTTTGAAATTTCCATGAGTTTGACATTTTTGACAAATGATGACATTTTTTAATCTAAAAATGACATGTTGTAATCTCAAAAATGACATGTTTTTACATCTAAAAATGTCATGTTGTAATCTCAAAAATGACATGTTTTTGCATCTAAAAATGTCATGTTTTTGCCTTTGATGTTAACACGTCATTTTCGAGTAAAGTGACAAACAGGTCAAAATTGTCATCATAACAAATGCAATGCCATAAAATTTTCATTATTTTAAAATGATGGCATTTTCGAAATAAAATGTCTAAAATAATCTGAAATTCAAAACAAGTAGGAGAAGTTTTAATCGAAAACAGAGGAGTGCAAGGAGAACTGCGAGGAGAAGAAAACAGAGGGGGGAGGGGAAGAAGAAGAAAAAGAAAAAGAAGAAAAGAAGAGGAAGAGGAAGCAGGAGGAGAAGAGGAAGAATACCTGATTTTACCGGAGAGAAGATGTGGTGGTCGGCGTTGAGCAGGCGGCTGCGATGATGGCGGTTGAGTTGCGATCGAAATCGGTCAAGCTGCTACATGGCAACTGCGTCAGAAAGGGAGGGCTGAATCGCAGGTGTAGGATCGATGGCAGAGGGATTGGGGAAATGTTATTTTGGGATTAGGGGTAAAAATGTAATATGGAGTCCTATTTAAGCAATTTAAAACTTAAAGTCCTATTTTGGAGTTTTAACCATGTTTTGGTCCCATTTAGGATAATTCCTTAAAAAGTAACTATAATCTTACCTTTTCTTGTTATTACACGATTTGGCGCGCGAAATCAAAAGTTACGTGTGTGGTAAAAAAGTTCGGTTATACGCCGAAAAATAGTGTCACCAAACAGACTATTATTATGTTATGCTTATTAATTAATTTTGCATGTGTATGTTTTTAATATTTATCTAAAAACAATTTTGTTTATATTTATAATATGTATCCTTATTTTTTGAATATTCAATTTGTAACCTATAACTATTAATTGGACTGGTAATTAATCATTGATCGTTATTAATTATTGAATATTAAATGACGCTTCATTAATTGTGACAACAAATTTTCACTTCTTTTGGCTTCATATGGATTGCTCCCAAAAAATCTTCATCTATCACTATACTCTATAGATGTTTCATCGAGATTAATAACAAATTAGATCATAATAATTAGGGTAGATAAAATGGAAAGAGAAACAAAATACTTTTCATAATAATAAAGAACTTTTCATAAAATAAAAAATACTTTGTGACAAATAAAAAAGAAGGAAGATAGCTCACATCCCAAGAGTTGCATTAATATCACCACATCACCTGTGTTTGATAACACTGGAATCGGTTGAATCGTTTGATTCTGCTAAAATTTATGAAGTTCTGGTTGAAGTGATTGTGTTGGAAGATTCTGTTGATTTTTAAAAATTATATTTAAAATATATTTTTGATGGATAGTGTACCCGGGGGGTAGCTTATCCGAGGGGTTATTACGGGAAATAACTAGAGAGAAGTCACAGCAAGTAAGTAGAGAGAGAGAGAGAGAGTATATTAGAAATGTATTCAGCGTTTTCAGCCTGGTTTGCAACGGGGAAATGGGGTGCTATTTATAGTAGCAATAAATGCCGGACAGTGACACGTGTCAAGCATCCATTGGCCGAGAGGTCACCTCAACCGGTTGGCGCTGGCAACCGCATGTGGCCGCATTTAATGCGGCTGTTGGATGGGACGTTGTACTGGGTACGGTGATCCATACGCATGTGGAGCGGATATTATGTCGGAAAAGGCGCCCTCGGCAGTAGATGACTAGCCGAGGGCTCTGAGTACCGGGGACCCCCTTAGTGCCGAGGGCTCCAGTTGCCGAGGGCTACTGATTTTCGTCGTTCTTCCCAGTAACTTTGTTTTCCTGTCTTGGCCCTTCTGTGACGTTCAGAGCCTTCGGCCAGGGGGCCGAAGGCACCCTTGGTGCGGATTGTGGGCTGCTTGGTATCTTGGGCGCCGTGATTTGGGCCTGTTGTGCTTCCTGGGCCTATTGGGCCTTTATTGGAGTAGTAGGAGTCTGTGGGCCGGGGGTTCCCGGGCCATATACTCCATCAATTTTATTAATAAAAAGAGAAAAAACTATATGAAAGTAACTAAAATGGAGTGCACCGAATTCCCCCAACGATGAATCGAAAACGTGAAGCCCTGGTTCGAAATGGAGTATAATGTTGATGCCGAAGGCTATCCTTGTTCTGAGGGCTCATGTTTTGATTAGCCGGAGGCTTGCTGTTGATATCCTGGGAGGTGCCGAATGGGAGTCCCTCAATCTGGGGATCGAGGGCGCAATGAATGCGAGTAGTAGTTGAAGTGTTACCGGGGTGTCCCCTGTTCGTTGATTGGTTGGTGAGGAGGGTATCCGAGGGCTCCCGTTACCTGTGTGCCGTAGGCTATCCGTCAATGAGGCGTACTGCCCAGGGGCTACCCGGCCCTCAAAGTGCTGAGGGGGGATCCCCGAGGGGTGGGCCTGATACGAAGCCGTGGGCTTCTGAAGGAGTGAGCCCGAAGGCATTTGTTATGTAGTGTGTGTGGGGCACAAACCGGGAGCGTCTCTGGGTAAGTGTACCCGAGGGCTCTTCTTGATGAAGTGGAGTGAAGTAAAAAACCCGAGGGCTAGTTTCTTGGTTGATGAAGGAGTGGTCTGTCAAGTGTAGTCGGGAGCTCCCCGAATATAGCCGTTGGAAATATAGCCGTTGGAATATCTAACGTCAGAATATAGCCGTTGGGGGGGGGCTGCCACGTGGTGTGTGCTCATTGGCTGCCCGTGGGCGGGTGTCACCGATTGGGCGAAACCACGGTTTGTAATGATGGCTTTGTGACCGGGGGCCCGGTATTCAGGACCAAGCCCAGATTTGGGCGCCTATAAATACCCCATGGCTGGGCATCACTTCCCTTGTGTGATATCATTGTAGCGAAGGTGTACTCAAATTTCTAGAGAGAGAAAATCCAGCCTTCGGTTGAATCCCCAGCTTTTAAGGTTAGTTCCCCCTGCTCTTCTCCTCCTAGTTAGCTGTGCCCTGTGTCCTTAGGCTAGGAGTTAGAACTTAGAATACTTAGCATTTCCGAGCCCTCGGCCTAGTGGAAAGATGTCTTCACAAAGCGACTCCCAGGATATCTCGGGGGAGCCTGCAGTTGAGATGGAGACGTACTCCAACGTCGAGTCTTCGAGCGGGGAGTCTTCGGTGGGTGGTGATGCTGTTGTGGCCATGGAGGTGGAGAAAGACATCCAAGCCGAAGTCGAAGCCGAAGACTTCGAGCAGGTGAATGAGGACGAAGAGCTCGCCCTTGCCGTACAGACTGCCGAAGAGGAAGAGGGGAGGGAGAGGATGAAGGTGACGGTTGCCGTCCTTCCCCCTCGTGGTGCCGGGGAATCCAGCTCCTCCCGGCCATTGAACCCGACGCCCATCAGTGTGGCTCCCGGGAAAAAGAAGAAGATGAGGGCAGCCCCGAAGAAGAAACAAGCGGCCGTTGATGCCGAGTGGCCGATAGGCATACCCGAGGGCCACTCATTCCTGAACACCGCTGCCCTGGAGCTGAAGACAAGGGCGTCCCCGGCAGAGTACCAGGCCACTCAGATCTTGGCTGGCCCTTCGGCGCGCGTGGTGGAGCCCGGGGCAGATGACCTGTTGCGATATGCGCCCGAAGGGTGTTTTGCTGTTCACACGCTGTCGGTGGAGATGGGGCTTCGCTTTCCGCTTCACCCCTTTCTGTTGGAATACCTGAGGTTCGTGGGGTTGGCCCCCTGCAAGCTAACGCCCAACAGCCACTCTTACGTGGCCGGCTTCCTCTCCATGTGCCGGAGCCGGGGGTTCCACCTACCCTCGACCAATTCTTCATGTCCTTCAACCTCTGCCGGGGGGGCATTCAAACGCTGAGGGCTTTGCCAACCTTCAGCAGGTACCGGAGTTTAGGCTCTTCGACGATGTGCCTTCGTCCCACAAGGGGTGGAAGGAGCAATTTTGCTACATTCGTCTCGAGGAGAACCCCTTCCCGGCTCAGCTCCGCAACAGCTTCCGGCGCCACCCGAAGGTAGGGAGCGCGCCCCTGGAGAAGAATGGTAGAGTACTCGCCAAAAAACCGGAGGGGTCTGACAAACACGTCAAAATTAAGGACGTCACTCTCCCCGAGGAATTGTTTAGTCTTGGCTTCCGGCAGTTCAGGCCGAGAAGTTCTTCGGATGAAAGATACCCTCCCTCGATCGGGTCTTCGAAGGAGCCGGAGGTGATTATCGAAGGGTTTATTTGTACCTTGATAGTTTTCCTTCATATATTTTTTTTGCCATTGTAACTGACACCCTTCGGTTTAACCATTCTGTGTCTTGTTCTTGCAGGTAATAACATGGACGTAAGCTCTCTCTTCGCCTTAAAGAATGCCAAGGGGAAGAAGAAGGCCCCGGCGGGCACTTCTGCCAGGGAGGAGCCCTCCCAAGCTGCTGGCGCCGGTGCTGGCGCCGGGGGGTCCAGAGGTGTTGGGCCCGCAAAGAAGAAGAACAATGGCAAGGGGACCAAGCCCCCGGCCAAGAAGATAAAGGCCGCCGCCGCCGCCAAGCAACCGACCACCGACGTGGTTGTTATCGTGGATGAGGGGCACGCCTCTGCCCCCACCTCCCAGGAGCACATCAACCAAGAGTTCTTCGGGCGGGAGAAACTGGAGGCGATAGTGCCGAAGGGGGCTTCTGTACTGGAGGGTAGCCTAAACCCCTCGGCGCTGATGAGCCAGATGCTGCCATCGGCTGATTGCTTGGCCCTCGCCAGACTGGACGAGAGCTCCCTCGAGGCGAAGATCCTTCTGAACACTGCCTCCGTAAGTCACACCTACCTTTTTCTTCTGTGTTCGTTGTTGTTCTTTCGTACTGTGTTTATCATATCTAACTTTCGCCCTTATGAATTGTAGAGCTTCATGAGCCTCTGTGAGTGTAATACTTGAGATTTAATTTAAACGGATGAATAGTACTACTCATACCAGCAGAGATGCATCTCCTTTTAAGGGAGCTCATCACCCAAGAACTCCAAAGTTAAGCGTGTTTGCACGAGAGTAGTCTTGGGATGGGTGACCCCCTGGGAAGTTTCTCAGGGCGCGCATGAGTGAGGACAAAGTGCGCGGTAAAGGCTCGTGGTGGTTTGTGAGGACAGTATTATTGGTCTAGAGTAGCTACCTCGGGTCCTGCGAGGCCGGGTGTTACAAATGGTATCAGAGCAACCCTGCGACGGTGTGCTGATCCGTTGGATATCGGGCGGGCACTTAGTAGGGGAAAAGATTCTGGGATATGATTGAGATTGGTGTTTGGGCGCAACGAGGACGTTGTGTTCCTTAGTGGAGGTGATTGTAATACTTGAGATTTAATTTAAACGGATTAATAGTACTACTCATACCAACAGAGGTGCATCTCCTTTTAAGGGAGCTCATCACCCAAGAACTCCAAAGTTAAGCGTGCTTGCACGAGAGTAGTCTTGGGATGGGTGACCCCCTGGGAAGTTTCTTAGGGCGCGCATGAGTGAGGACAAAGTGTGCGGTAAAGGCTCGTGGTGGTTTGTGAGGACAGTACTATTGGTCTAGAGTAGCTACCTCGGGTCCTGCGAGGCCGGGGTGTTACAGTGAGCATCTCCGGAGGGTGGAGCAAATGAAGGAGGCAAAAGGCGCAGCCGAAGGGGAGGCTGCCCTCCTTAGGAAGAAGCTTGCCGAGGCTGAGGATTCTCTTCGCCTGGCCACCGACAGCATGGAGCAGCGGGTGCAAGCTGCAAGGGGCGAAGGCATGAATGAGGGCCTGGCCAAGGCCGCCCGCATCGCTGCTGAGGAAGCCCACGTGGCTCAAGAAGAGGCCGTATCTAGGGCTCGGGAGGATGCTGTGGCCGGCTTTACTGCCGAGGGGTGGAAAGCTGAAGATCAGAAGGAGTGGCTCTCTTCGGTGGTGGGGGCTTCGGTGGATGACTGGGTTGGAGGCCCCGGCAAGATGTGGTTTGCTGAGAGGGGCGACTCCTACTACCAAGGCGGGGAGTTCTTCACCCAGCGCCTCATATACCGGAAGCTTGCGAGGCATTTCAAGGTTTCACCGGAGGAGTTCCATCCCGAGGCTTATGGCCTCCCCCCTCGGCAGCCAGACGTCAGGATCCCCGCTCCCCGAAGGAGAAGAGAGGCCGGTGCTCGAGGATTCGGAGACTCTGAGGGAGTGCGGCCTCGGGGGCGATGGGGATGAGGCCGAAAGCGAGGTTGTCTCCACAGCTGTCGAAGGGGGCGATGTTGTAGCTCCCCCTTCGTGAAATGTATTCCCCACTAATTTGTACTCACACTCTGTTGTACTTATTGGCTTCGGCCCTTTTGTAATGAATACTTCAATTTTTCCCCCTTCGATGAATGGATGCTTGCCTTCGGGCTTTTTGTATACAATTCGTTTCCTTTGACTGTTGTTCTTTGAATGTATGCCCTCGCCCTTTCTGAATGTATGCCTTCGTTTTTCTGAATGTATGTTTAGGACTTAGAATATATTCTTCCAAGTATAGTACCTCTCGTAGCCCTCGGCTACTAGGCCTATTTAGTCAGTTGAACCTTTCACCGAGGGCACAATGTTCAGGACTTAGAAATATTTCTAAGTGTTTGTTCATCTGTTGGCCCCCAGCCGGTTCCTTCCCTCTGGTTTTGTGTAGCCCTCATGAGCTAGCCGGAGGCGAGGTGCTTAGGACTTAGAAAATTTTTCTAAGTGTTTGAATACAGTTTAGCCTTCAGTAGTTGGGTACCCTTCGCTGGCTGGATATATGACCGAGGGCCCAGGAATAGTTAGGACTTAGAATATTTTCCCAAGTATACTTTTACCAAGTCCTCATCCGTATGGCCCCTCGGGCTGCATGGAGATTTGACCGAGGGTAAAAACTTTTGGGACTTAGAAATTTTCCTAAGTGTAGTATGTATGAAGTAGGAGCCCTCGGGTGAATGTGAGGCCCCTGTCTCAGATATGCCTTCGGTTGACTGGTGGCTCCACAGGGGGCAAAGCATTTAGGACTTAGATTATTTTCTCTAAGTATTTCCTGCTGCTGGCCTTCGGGAGGGGACCCTTCGGCTGTGTATGTTGTAGGTTCAGGATAGTTTCCTTTGCCTTGTGATGTTGGCTTGTGGCAATAAAAAGCCTTCGGTTGTTTGTTATGTCCCCCAATGTTGCTATAAGAGAGTTTGTAGTCCAAGTCTAGCATAAAAAGGCGGACTCCCTCGGGAATCGACTGGATGTATCCCCTCGGCCTGTAGTGAGGTGCCGGAGGTGATTCTTGATCTGATTTGGCCAACATCTGATAGCTTTGTCATAAAGTAGCCTTCGGTAACGTTTTTGAGCTGTTGTTGGCTGAGCTTGCCATGTTTTGTAGTATTTGAGCCTTCGGTTTTAGGTATAGCCGGAGGCAATCCTTGAGTGGACTTAGCCGTTTGGTTATGACGTCTGTTGTGAATGGTATCCTTGGTACTCATGAGCGTCCAGGTATCGGAGTGATGTACTCGTTGATTTCTCGCCGAGTCTACTCCCCTTCACCCTTTTTTTTATGAGTAGTGAAGGGAAGGCTTCAAGAAACTTGGTTCCTTGGTAAGGCTAGGCCTATCGGGAGGTAACAGAATACACCATTAGCTCCCCCCTCGGGTTAACCTTCCGAGTTCCGAGGGGATCGAGGGTCGTTTCCTGGGTACAAGATATGGTGGTCTGTAGCTTGCCTCATGATAAGTCCATTTTTGTACTTATTTTTCTTATCAAATTTAAGTGATTTTGGACTGAAAAACAGAAAAACAAGGCATGTTTTATATATTTTGGTTCAAGTTTCGTGAAATCAGGTAAAAATCACATCCATGATATGTTTTATAAAATTTCAGGTCAATTTAGCACAAAATGCGTCAATTTGAGTGACAAATGATATCATACCGAAAAAAGGAAGCAGAATTTCAAAGTGGTCCAGAAGGGAAAGTTGAAGAGCACAAAATTCAGAACAAGACGGACAAAAAACCTCACAGGCGCCCAAATAGGCGCCCATATTGGCCGCCTACCAGGCCGCCTACCAACTTTTGAAAAAAAAATCAATTTTGATCAAATTTGACCGGACCGGAGAAAAACGGAAGGCGGCCGCCTTCGATGGCCGCCTGCGGCACAAGGCGACGAACCAACCACCGGCCGGTGGGATTTGATGGCAGGCGGCCAGACAGGAACGGCAGGCGACCGCCTGCGGCGGATGAGTTGACCGGCGTCACGTCCTGCCAGTGACGTGACGGAAGGCGGTCGGGACAGGACCAGAGGCGGCCGCCTGTTTGGCCGCCTACCAGATTTTTTGTGCTATAAATACCCCGATTTTTGCTGAACTCAAACACACCTCTTCCAACCCTAATTCAGTTCAAAAAGGTCCTGTTCTTCAGCTATTTCCGCAGCTCCAAGAATTTTTGGGAGAGAGAAACTTCAAATCTTCATATCTTCTTCATTTTAGCTTCAAATTGTAAGTTCTTTATATGTATTTTCATCTTCTCAACGAGTAGAATCTGAATCTGTGCTTTATTTTCTCGATCTGTTCTTCGATTTTTTCCAGAAAATTTATTTAGTATTTCGCATTTTCTTCCATAAATTAAATAAAATAGTTGTTGATGTGGAATTCATTCCAATTAATTATATAGTTGTTCACTAGCCTCAAGGTTGTTATTTATCTGAAGAAAGTTAATTTCCACGAAGTGCAAGTAATTTTTAATTAATTTCGGTAATAAGGTGTTATTATTGCATAAATTAAATTAATTACACAAAAATAGAAAAAAAAATAGTCTCGGCCCTAATTCCAGTTTATTTCACTGTAATATTACCCCTAGTAGTCAACAAAAAAATTTAGAACGAATTTAGCCTATTTTTAATTACCTTTTGTATTTTATAGTTAAAAGTGGGAAAATTATCAATTAATTGCTAAAATTGGATTTTAGGTCTGAAAATTCATAAAAAAGTTCCAGAAAGTCATATTGTAGTTCCAGAAAGTTTATTTTGACAATATCTTATTTTTGTTTAATTTGTGCTATTATACATGTTTAATTCCATGTTAATGTTTAATCTATTTACCATATTGTTGAATGCAAAAATAATGTTTAGTAGCTAATTTGTTTTGAGCATGAATTGAGTAAAGAAATATGGATTGACTTGTTAGCCGAAAATTAGGGGTTAAAATTAATTAATTGAGCTAGTTATTCAATTTGATGAATTAGTAATTAATAATTGTTAGCCAATTTCATTAATTAAATTTTGGAAAATTATTTCTAACTTGTCTATGAGATTAGAAAATAATTCGAGCCAACTTTATTTAAACACATTAATAAGGCCCAGAAATAGGATAATTTAATGAAATGGATTTACATCTTGTCTATGAGAAATAAATTCAAATTGCTTAAATAATGAATATAATTAGTTAATGAAATTGGCTATTGTTATTAATTAAAAATTTTGGAAAATTATTTCTGCCTTGTCTATGAGATTAGAATTTAATTCAAGCCAACCATTTTTGAATACATTAATGAAACCTAGAAGTAGGATAAATTAATGAAAGTAATTTCTATTCTTGTCTATGAGAAAAGAAATTAGTAGTCCAATTTTAGTTTTAAATTCCCCTAATTACTAGGTCCAAGAAGATATCCATTTCCAATTGCTCAATTCATTGCCCTTACTTGCCTCAATAATTTTTTAGAATATTTAAATCTTAAATCTTTTAGTTGAAATTTGCTCCTAGTGTAATTGTGCAATTTGGCCTAGTCTAGAATACAATCAGCCTTTTTGTAGTGAAAAAGCTTCCAACAATTAGCGATAGCCCGTGACTAAGATTAAATTAAGAAAACTCCTCCACCATTCCTCAAGAGACACGATACTCGGGGAAAAAACCAAAAGGTTAGACTACGTTTTACTACAACGCCGCGTAAGCGGTTATCAAATGGCGTCGTTGCCGGGGAATGGCACGGTAATTTCTTAATCTAGTTCTACCATAGGTGAATTCTAGTTAGGGAGACTTTTTCGCACTTGCGACATTTGTATAAAGATTTCAGGATAAATGAATGCACACCCACTCTAAAGGAGTGGAAGGGCTACTTGAACTTAATCCTGAACCTGAACGAACTTTGTGGAAAAATCTTTTGATCCACAAGAAACCAATCATGACGGACCAAAAGACGGTGCTGCAAAACCTCACGCCAAGCTTCATCGAGGATGATAGCATAAGCGCACCAACAATAGAGGCGGCCAACTTCGAGATAAAACCCGCCATTATCAACATGATGTCTAATCATCAATTTGGCGGGTCCAAACAAGACGATCCCAGGGCCCACATGATGTGGTTCACCAGAGCGTGCCAAACATTCCGCTTCAACGGAGTGACTCCTGACGCTGTAAAGCTGACCCTATTTCCTTTCTCACTTCGAGATTGGGCATCTCTATGGTTGGATAGCTTTCCAACATGACATTTCACGACATGGGCAGCACTACACCAGGCATTAATGCAAGAGTACTTTCCTCCGTCGGCAGTTGCTAAAATTAAAACAGCAATCCAAAATTTTAGGCAATTCCCGACGGAATCATTAAATGAAGCATGAGAGCGCTTCAAGGATATGAGAAACAAGTGTCCACTCACACTGATGGACCCTAACATCTTGATGTTCCATTTCTATAATGGGCTTCAAGTTGGAAGCAAAAAAGAGCTTAATTTCTCTTCGCATGTGGGATCGTTCCTTGACATGGCGCCCGACGCCAATGAAGCTCTGGTGGAGAAGGTCACTTCCAACGCAAGATACTGGTACGATGAAAGAACTCCAGTAGCCACAAAACCAGGCTATCTTGAAGTTGACCAACTCACGGCCTTAACCGCAAAGATTGAAGGGTTGGTGGTGGAAGTGAAAAATCTGACGGGCGAAAACAATCACACCAACCAGGTCAACCACATAGGTGCTGCCCCGAATCAGCAACCATCCCGTTACTTTGGGAACTCAAACTCTACCCCACACTCATCACAATTTAATGTTTATTCACCTGTTTCTAATTCTACTGAACTTGTACTCTCCTGTGAGATATGTTTTGGTCTGCATTTGACCAATTCATGTCAATTAGTTGATGATTGTAATGTAAGTAACAACAGGGAGGTAAACATGCTGGAATATGGCCGAACGAAACAAGAAGGGCCATGGGCAAATCAAGGTAATAGGGGGGGTAACACAAATTACCCTCCCCAGAATTACCAGG